GTATCGACTGCAAAGGTAATCCCTCTAACTTTTACCCTTTCGAGTTGAACCATCTCTACGATTGGATTCAAGTGGGTTGTGGCTCGAGTAGCTCAATACACATGGGTTGTCGCGTATCATTTTGTATCAGAGATAAGGCTTTAGACCGAGATATATGTTTATTTTATGTCTTTAAATTCTTGTCATTGTCTTTACATTCCTTTATTCAAAATCTCATGAAAAGTTCCATTGTTCTTGTCTTCTGCGTGTCACTCGATCTATCATTCTTGCAAGAGAATTTCTGATTTCGAAAATTGAAGTGTCAAAATCTTGTTTCTTTGTGTTGTGCACCTCAAAAGCTTTCCAACAAAGTTTCACTTTAATCCGAGCCCTATAGCCAAAGTTATCAACTTTTCTTCGAACCCGGAAATTGAGAGAAACCTGTAGAGAGCACAAGACCCAGAGCCGACTTTAAAAATTCATAACTTTTTTTCTCTGAAGTCCAAATTGAGTGAAACCAGTACCATTCAAAAGATCTTTGTGTTAGCTATCCATAGAGCTCAGAATTGATAATTTTCAGTCAATGGTTGGAAAGTTATCGCATTTTCAAAAACATTGTGTAATCTGGAAATCCTGCAGCTGCCGAAGAAGTAGAGTCCCAACTTCGATGATTCATATCTTGCTGACCTTTTTTCTAAATATAGTTAAATCAGGTACCAAATTAAAGGACTTTTAAAGAGTTTTCCAGTGTCATTTAGATTGTCGCCAACCGAAGTCTGTAGCCGAAGTTATCGATGAATGAAGAGAAGATGTCCAAGCAGAAAACTTTCCATATTTGAAGCTGGACGTTTTTGGAAAAATTATTTGGGCCATCAAATCTTGTCCAAATCGATTTCTTTTTGACAAGTAATCCTAACAATGATTATATTTTTATTTAAAATTATTGTTGGATTATTTTGATCTATTTGGATAGCTCAAAAGAATGAGGACAACCGCCAAATCATTGGGCCACCCGAGAGACCTCTTTGTGCAGCCCTAGAATTTTATTTAAGAGAGCAGCCCCCTCCAACGAATTCCAAACCTTTTGGCAGCTCACAAAATTCAAGTACACTTGTTGTGCTATCTTTGACCACTGGTTGGAGCCCCATCCTAGTTGTATACATCACACACCCGTCACCCAAAACTACCCCAGTTACCGCAAAGTCCACTGTTTTGTTGGTAAGTGTTATTTTGTGTGTGTTTGCACTACAAATTGGATTTGTACATCTTTTTTAGTTTATTTTTGATTTCATTGATTTTATTTGCATAATTATTTCTTTGTTTAGCTTTAACTTCAATTTGCATATTGTAGTTGAGTCTTTAGAACCAAGAGCATTAGGCTTAAGGTTGTCTTTACCATCCTTTGTTCATATCTTGTCTTATTCTTCAGAACTATCATTTGGTATCTTTGTAACTATCTTTGTTGTTATTTGAGTCTTGTCTTTGGTATCATCAATACCATTGATCCCTAGTAAAAAAAAAAAAAAAAGAGAGAGAGAATATTTTTGCAAGTTGCTTGTAGGCTTATACTCACTTTTTCTAAGACTAATTCGCCACGAGCATTCAAGTGAGCATCTCCAAAGGGTATCCACACCAATATCCACCCTACCAAAGGAGAGGAAGCCGAGAGGATAAGTAAGAGAGTGAGAGTAATTGTTCTTTGTTTATACTAACCTTTACTTGTGTAGTGATGACATCAAGAGGAAAGTCTCATGACTCACAAGAAGAAAGAGACAAAGCCAATGTGAGCAATGAAAGACTTAAAGAAGCTCAAATCCAAACCTTTGCAAGGTTCACACAAAGGCTTGAAGACCTAACCGAATCCTTGCAAATGATGAACACATGTGTTCAAGGATTGGAAAGGCAACAAAGAATGCCACACCGAAGGAGACCAATGAGTTCAAGAGAGATATCTGACGGTTCTTAAGAAGATGAGGTAGGTACTTTGAATGAATATTTTGCTAACGAAGACCCTTTTGATGTAGGTCCTCCAAGAAAAGCATACATTGGCCAAGGAAGAAGAAGATTCCAACAACACCGAGAGAGGCCAAGAAGAGAAAACTACCATGGGAGCATCAAGTTGAAAATTCCAACCTTCCATGGAAAGTCTACACCCGAAGAGTTTGAATCATGGGAAAAGGAGATTGAGTTAGTGTTTGCATGCCACAATTATGATGATGGCAAGAAGGTAATTCTCGTACTCACTCATTTTAAAGATTATGCACTAACTTGGTGGGATAAAGTGATGGCTCATAGAAGGAGGAACCATGAAAGACCCATAGCTTCTTGGATAGAGTTTAAGGAACTCGTGAAGAGAAGATTTGTGCCACCACACTACCATAGAGCAAATTCAAGGAAACTTAATAAGCTCTATCAAGGCACCAAGGGAGTTGAAGACTACTACAAGGAGATGGACATGTTGATAAGCCGATTGCAACTAGAGGAAGATAAGAAGACCACTATAGCTTGATTCTTAGATGGTTTTAATCCGGACATAGCCGACAAACTTGATTTGCAACACTATGAAGACATGAAGGAACTTCTACACCTTGCCGTCAAAATAGAAGAGCAAAACCAAATGAGAGCTAAAAGGTATGTCAAATCTACTCCTAAGGCCACTAGTAGCAAAACAGAGAACAAATCCCTAGAGTCAAAGCCGAAAGTTAACTATGAAAAGGGAGAGTCATCCGAGTCCAAAACCCAACCCAAAATTCCCAAGATTAGGACTAGTGATATTAAATATTTTAAGTGTCATGGAGTAGGCCACATAAGCGGAAATTGCCCTAACCAAAGAGCCGTAATACTTAAAGAGGGAGAGCTAGTCACAGATGATGAGGAGGAAGAAAAAGTAGAGATTGATGAGAGAAAAGATGAGAGTAGTCAAAAGGAGGAAGTAGAAGAGGATTCCAAGGACACAACCTTAGTGGCTAGGAGGAACCTCAATGTGCAATTTAGGGAAGAACCCTTAGAGGCAGAAAGAGAGAACCTCTTCCATACTAGATGCATAGTAAACTCCACCCCATGTAGTGTTATCATTGATAGTGGGAGTTGCACTAATGTTGCTAGTAAGGATATAGTGAAGAGGTTGAATTTAGCCACTACACCCCACCCACGACCTTATAGCCTACAATGGTTGAATAATAGTGGGGATGTCAAGGTCCAAAAGCAAGTTCAAGTTCCGTTCAACATAGGTAGGTACAAGGACGAGGTCACTTGTGATATTGTACCTATGCATGCTAGTGATTTCTTGCTAGGGAGACCGTGACAATTTGATAAGAGAGTGAGTTTTTATGGTTTTCTTAATAAATATTCTTTTGAGCATCAAGGTAAGAAAATCACACTTGTACCTCTTTCTCTAAAGGAAGTACACATTGATGAGTTAAATTGGAGGAAAGAAGGTTGGAGGCCGAGAAAAAGGAAGTTATTGAACTTCAAAATAAAAAGAAAGAAAAGGCTCCAAGAAAGAATGAGAAAGTCGTGACCCTCATGGCTAGAAAATATGAAATAGAGCGAGCTCGCTACACAATTAATTCTTCTTTTTTTTAATGAAGGTAATGATCTCCTAACTCAAGAAAGAAGAAATACCTTGCCTAGTACTTGTGTTGAGTTTTTACAGGAAACTGAGGAGACAATGCTCGAAGCCAATTTAGAAGGAAGAATCAAAAAAGAAGAAGGAGAAGGAAGCAATTTCGAGCCACCCACTCAAGGATCCAAAATACCTCAAGAGGCCGAGCCAGATGAGGAAATCACAAATGACAATCAAGTGGAGATCTTTGAGAAGAAGGAAGAAAATAAAATTTTTCAACTTCATCAAGGTAATAGTCCTACTATAGATCCATATCATTGGCAGCCCAGCCCCTCGGCGCCCAGCCATGCCTTGCCGCCCACTCCTCGCAAATAAGGAATATATTTCCTTATGATTTTGGTTTATTTTTGGGAGGTTTGATTAAGATTTTATCTTTGATTTATTTGTTTTATTTATCAAATTTAAATTTCATCATTAGGAAAGTTTTAGGCATTTTAGGAATTTATCAATTTTAATTTTTCTTTTTTCTTTTTTGTTATTTTCCTTAAAAGGCCAAGGGTCTTGGCCTATATATAGGCGTGTATCCTCTTCCTTGTGAGACACCTATCTTTCGAATATTGAATCAAATTGAGTTGAGTGTTTCTCTCATTGCCGTGTGCAAACTCCCCTCCCCTCAAATCTCGAATCCCTTTGTGTGGTTGAACTTAGGCCTTCGTGTTTGAACCCCTTGGAGCATGCTTGTTTGATTCGTCATCAAACTCGTGGAGTGTTTTCGGCCTCGAGCATAGTGAGTATTTTGTCTGCTCCAGGTAACGACTGCAAAGGTAATCCCTCTAACTCTTACCCTTTCGAGTTGAACAATCTATACGATTGGGTTCAAGTGGCTTGTGGCTCGAGTAGCTCAATACGCTTCGGTTGTCGCGTATCAGTTGTATATAAGAGTTAGGAGATATGTTATTTATAAAAGTATACTTTTGTTTTTAAATTAAAAAGTTTTTAAAATTTTTGTTTTTTAAAATAATTATAATTACCAAACTAAAGATTTTTACCATTTTTAATTTTAAATAAACTGTCAGGAGAAGGGATTTTAAAATCCGTAATCCCCTTTTTCTTCTCCCCCAATTGAACTCTCGTCCTCATCTCCTTCTCTTTCGAAGTGGCCAACATTGTCACTCTACCGTCTGCCGTTGTTGCTCTGTCGTCCGGCGAGTAGTCGAGATCACCGGCTAGTAGACAGAGGTCGCGATTACACAAGTAAGAATCTCGGATTAAATGCCGTGTTTAGGACAAGAATCTATATGTCGTGAAATGATGATAGATATATAGGTGTTGTGTTTGAACTTTGAAGTCGGTTTTTGCTCACCATGTGTTTGATAAAATGCCTCTGTTGTTTATATGTTCTCCAAGCTATCTTAGAATGTAAACAGTTCTAATACGTATGTTAATATAATTTAATTTGTTTGAAATTTTAGCTTATTAGATGAAATAATTGTTCTCCAGATCTACCCAGTTCAACGGTACACAAAGAACTGGAAAACTACTTGCTTGCATGATCAAAATGTGAGGTTAATAAGTTGACAAAGACTTTTAAGGGATGTCACGTGGTAACTGATTTTAGTGATTTTAGTGAAATAAAAAAGAATTGTTTTGGAATTGGAGCCATGTGGCAACTGATTTTAGTGAAACATTTTTTAGAATGGAACCCCAAGAAGTTCATTAATTTTTTTTTAAAGTATGGTTTAATTTTAAGTTTGATGATCATGATCAAGTGAGATAGCAGAGTGTGGAGACTTGAGAATTGAGATGGTGATGGGAAATTTAGAGGGGGTTATAATCAAGCCTAAAAAGTTTAGCGACCAATTTTGGAGACCATTAATGTCATTTTGCACGTCAATAGATTGCAAGCTTGTTTGTTTCTAGGAAACTTCTCCTTTTAATGAGCTCATGGTAGTTTCTTTCTTGGGATGCTCTTCCTTACGATACCCTTCATGGGATGGTCTCCTACTCTTGCAGTTTCAAGACAAGTTTAATCCTAGTGTCCATAGTTGATGTACTTTGAATAACCCATCGCATGTGGCGGAATTGTTATGCAAACCTTGCTGAGGAAATTGTACGTTATATATTTATTCTAACGTTTTAAGTCATACTTATTAACTAAACGTAATTATGTGTATAGAAAATTGATGCATCTCATGAGAGGCCATCAGATCGTTGCATCTTATGGAAAAAGACTCGAATGAATCGTGATGGGAAAATTTTGCATGAACCGACTCAGAAAGTTGTGGAGCGCATATTAAGTATTATATTAATGTTTTAGTACAAATAATAAGTGTTTGAACTTATATTTGCTATTATAACTGTAGGATGATCTCATGATAACACAAAACGTGGAAGAAGAGAATCTAGATAAAGGTGGGGACTTGTTATCCATCTCACTAGGCAGTCACTACTTTTATAATCCAACAAAACCCTCAGTATCCACAGTAGGAGAGAATAAGATGGACATCGAAGAATATGATAGAATGACAGCTTGCGTCAAAAAACTTGAAGAGAAATTGAACAAACGTGAAAAAAGATCTCCAAAATCAAAACATGACATGCCGTCTAAGAATACTCTTAAAATATCTCCTAAACCAAAGCGTACCACACCATCTAAAAACACTCCAAAAAAATCTCCTCAATTGAAGCGTGGTACTCTATCCAAACATGTGGATGATGCAAAAGTTGTAAAGAAGTCGACGATAGAGGAAGTAAATGATTATGTTTAATATTTACTTATAAGAAATATAATGAACGTAGTTACCAATAGTTAACTGATCTTACTTTCTGTATTCGCTTCAAGATAGTGGCGAAAGAAGAAATCTTAGCGTTCAAGGTAAGTGTTCACTAATACTCGTTTAAGGAATTAAGAAATTGTACTTCGTTAACTGCTTATATTTATTGTATTCGAAATAGGAGGGAACTCATTGTTGTATGGCACTTAAGGTTTATCGATAATATTGTCGCAGCTGGCACTATATTTGAATCGGGGAGAAATTATGAAAATGTGAAAGTGTCCATAGACGTGGTTGTCGATGACGACTCTTGACTTCCAAGTCCATCACATGCATGGAATGATATACTCTCACAAGAAATAGGTTCACATATCTTATGATCACAAGAACTTGTCATAGCTAATATGGAGAAGGTAACATCTCTTAATTGATTCACATATCTTATGGCCACAAAAACTAGTCATAACTGATGCAGAGAAGATAACATCTCTTAATTGATTCACATATCTTATAGCCACAAAAACTAGTCATAACTGATGCAGAGAAGGTAACATCTCTTATTTGATTGTAAGATTTCAATAGTTTATTATCAACAATCATCTTATTCTGTAATGAAGGAAACAAAACAACTAAGAGAACTGTAGAATTTGGCAACTTATAAATAATTGATTGTAAGATTTCATTAGTTTATTATTAACAATCATCTTATTCTGTAATGAAGGAAACAAAACAACTAAGGGAACTGTTGAATTTGACAACTTGTAAATAATTGATGGTAAGATTTCAATAGTTCATTATTAACAATCATCTTATTCTGTAATGAAGGAAGCAAAACAACCAAGGGAACTCTTGAATTTGGCAACTTGTAAAATGAGTCATTTGTTGTAGGGCTATAAGAAATTTATAGAAAAAACCTTTTGCTAGGAAGTGTGTACTGGTAAAGCATTTAACAAGTTCAAATATTTGTCTGGATGTATATGTAATCTTTTCATTGAATGCTATTATTTATATGTTGTATTCACAATGCCTAGGGCGACCCAATGCAGTGGAATGTGGCTACTATGTCATGCAATTTATGCGTGACATAATCTACGCTCGTAACACAACAATCTCAAACTGCATACGTATATAGCATAATGTGCATATTGGAACAATATACTATATATTCTC